TCCCTTGGTTGAGAATTCTAGAACTGGAACAATTACCAAGAAGGCCCTTTTTTCATTTTCTCATGAATTGTCCCTCTGGTGATGGGAGAGAGAGAGGTTACTGTAAGGAAAACTCTCCTTAGCACCATCGATATTCCTTTTGAACACACCCTCCATAGCTATCTTTCCTTGTAAAATTTGGAGCCTGATCAAAATACTTGGCAACATTGCAAAAAAGAAAAGGGAACAACCCACTTGTTGAACCAACAACATTGAAACCACAACAAGTAGTCTCCTTGGGGTTTTTGAAAAGACCCACGTGCACGCACACACACCCAACCAAACAGCCCCAGTTCCACCCATTAACCCCCTTCCTCCACTCTTTGTGTTGTGGCACATCCACAAGATGGTATACCTAGAGTTCAGAATATATACCCCTCCCCCTTCCACACAAAACTCCTGGTAGTCAACAGAAACAATTAATGCATTCCCTCAATACTGCTTCTGGGTTTCCTTCCCTTAAAAAGTTCCCCTCAGCCTCCCCCTTGAGAGTGCTCAACTATTCTTTGTTTCAACCCAATCCCTTCCCATGCAGATTTTTTCCTGAGGCTATACAGGCTTTGAACACTCAAAGAATGTCTCACCTCAGTTGCAATCCCTTATTGTCCCCCCCTCAAGATTCAAACATCCCAACACTTTCTTTTAGAGTTTTCTAGACACTCCAGATCCCATCCAGAAAACCAATGCAAGCCTGCCCCCAACTCGTGGCTGGAAGCAGCACTGCTCCAACTTTCCAAAGCACTTTGAACTCTGCACATGCTCAGAGGCTCTTGTGTGTGTGCTCCCTCTGCAGCACTCACAAAATGGTGGTACCTTCTGCCAGAGCATTCCCCTTTCTTGGCTGTGTGGATCCCACAGTCAAGTCCACAGTCTCCAGCACACATTTCCCTGAATTCAGCTGGCCAGACCAAATCCAGAAAAAGCTGCAGTTGCTGTCCCTTAAGTAATGGAGTGCTCTTCAGCAAATGAGGTACACCGACCCTCTTTTTTTAACCCAAATGAAAAGTGTGCACCATGGTACCCTGCAACAGCAGGAGTTTGAACTCAATGGCCTTTGTGGCCCCTCCCAACTCCTCCATTTTGTGCTTCCATGAAAAACTTTAGCAGTTTCATTCTTTACATGTTTTCCCATTTTGTACCAACACACTCAACCACCATTTATCCAAAACTCTTTAAAAGCCCATTCACACACCAAGCTCCATGCCCCCCACTTAAAGCAAGGAATTCCTGCAAAAATACATCACCTCACATACTCGCATCCTCACATGGCCTCCAGCCCAATTTTCCTTTTGCCCTTACGCCCCACATACCAACAGGTAGAGAAACCAAATCAGCCCAGAGAAAACCAAGAACATATTTACTACCTGCCTGACAAGGTGGACTTCCAACAGGAGTCCTTATGTGAGAGGGAGACTGCAAGGCCTAAGTCCACATGGCCTGCAAACCCCCTCCCTTTTTGCTGCCTCCATGTGCAGTCTTCACTTGTTAAACTCCAGCCTGCCACTGTTCAGGCTGCTTGCTAAACACAACCATCTAATTTCCACTATTTTTCCAAAAACCTCCTCAACACCTAAAAGAAAACCCTTCCCTTCTGCATCTTTGCTTCACTTTTCCTTCCTTTTTCTTTTCTTTCTTTCTCTGATAATCCCTTCAGGATAAGCAGGATTCCCCTCTCCCTTTTCTTTCATTGCCACAATCCATCTGCTCACTTGCCTCTACTTCTGCTTACAAAATCCCAATCCAAACCATAAAATTACAACCACACCACACAGTGCTTTCCCTTTGCACGTGTTTCCTCCTGAACAAATCCTCTTCCTTCTTCCCTACCATGCCTTCCTTCACAAACTGATACTGCAGCAATATCTGATGGAAAATGGATTCAGAAAATCCAGCCCATTTAGCCTCTGCAGCCCCTCAGATGCAGTCTTCACCTTTCTTGGTCCAAAATACACTTCCTACTCTGGTTCCTTCTCCAAAAACAACCTTCTAATCTCACCCCAACTGTACCTCCAGGGAGTTTGAGTTCTTTCCTGAAAGGCCCCAAACTTTAGGCCCAATTCCGCAAGAACTCCCTATTAACCATGACTAACAACAGCAACAACAACTATTATACCCCCTGTCAGAATCCCGAAATCTCAATTTGTGAGAGGAAATAAAATTCAGGGTCGTGGGAAAGATCAATTGTTATGAACCTCCACGTCTTTATTGTCTATCTTAAGTTCCCCACGGTTTACTCATGATAAGGCGTTACCGGACAGGCAGAGGTAAACTCGCTGCAAAACTTTAATCCATCTACCGGCAATTTTTTACTCTCTCAGTCACGTACACCCGTACAGAGCCATTAAGGACAGAATACAAGTATTACAATAAAGTTCGGTGATCAGCATATGGAGAAAAGATACAGGAATGTCAGTCAACCATACAGACAATAAGATTACACTATCTCACAAGGCGATTTTGACGTATCGGTGGAGTAATTTCCAGAGGCATGGATCCATCTCCGGGTCTACTTAGATATGTAAATTTGGGCTATCGTAAGCTCTTGTGTTGCATTCAGGAAGTCTGAGACCCTGAGTAAAGTATAACGAATAGCTACTTCTTGTCAAGCGGTAAATTCCAAAAGAGATTAGCTAGCTACAATGTGAATGAATTTGACTGAATGAAGACCTCAAATTCTTTCTGTCTGCTCTTGTCCCATAGCGGGGGGGGGGGGGCATCCATAGTTTGACATTTTTAAATGGATTCCTGAGTTGCACTATGCTTCTTTTCCAAAAAAACCCCCTTTTTATCCTGAGGTTTAAACAAGATTTATTCAGGCCTCTTTTCCAACAATCCCCTGTTTGTCACCTGCGCAAGCTAGGTGACACTGCTGAGAGTATTTAGACCGAATAAATCTTATTTAGGCAATCCCATTCTTCCTCGGCCAAAATACTACTTCCATCCCCCCCCCCCCCCCCGTGAGAGTATTCAGCATAAGATGGGCCGGAGCTTGCTGCCGGCTTCCCGATCGGGAAGGGAAACATAACTCCCCCATCGAGTTCAAGGAGGTGCAGATGGGCAAACAGTTTGAGAGGCAACAAAAACATAATCCTAATCCCAGGAGAACCATGGCACAGATGACTAATCCCTTTAAGAACTGTTTAAGAAAACCTACTCCTGGAAGCCAACTCCAAAAATCCTTGGTCGCCTCCTCTTTTTCAGCCAAGTATTGTTGATATGCTTTGTCAGCACTGTTAATGCACTCCGAAATAACAGCTGAGTTATCGGGAATATAGGTGCAACATTCAGTTCCGATCAGGGCACACAGTCCCCCAGTATCCGCCAATATGAAATCTAGAGCAAGTTGATGTTGAACAGTGGTATTTCTCAGAGCTTGGAGCTCACTGTTCATATCTCGTAAGGTGGGAAGCGTATTATTGACAAATGATTCAAAAGCAGTGCTAAGTGAGTTGATCACTGCACCCAGTCTTCCCACTCCATATTGAGGAAAAATGATTTGCCAAACTCGATCATTAGTAGTCAGTATAGGAAAAGAGCATGGTACTCGGGCATGTCTAGCACGGAAATTGGAAAAATCAGGCTGACTGGTAAATTGTACAGGAGGTAAAAGGCGACCTAAATAACAAGAACCTGCCCAATTGAAGGGGAGCCACTTATAAGCTCTGTGCCCACAGATGTAGTAACTATCTGATGGCGCAGCCTCGCTCCAGGAGTCGTCGGGGTTTGGAGAGCAGAGTTTGGGAGACATGTGCAAACAGTTTTTCCCTATGGTAGCGTTTACAGAGCAAGAGAGGCAGTACGCACACTGGCTAGTGCCCATGACAGATATGGTTCCAGCCGATACATAACATAAAAGACCCTGAGGAGGGTGATGCAGCAAAATCGGGCTAGAGGCATTTTGACGCTTAGAGGTAGGGGTGTATGCGGACGGGTGCCGTATAGTGTCATTGAGATCCATGAGGGAGCAGTTGGTCCGACTTCCTCTCCCCAGGTGAGGGCAGCTTGTTTCTGATATCCAACACATGTGTCTGCCCAGTTCCAAGGGACCACTCTGAGAGGGAGCCCATTTTGCAAATGGTCTGGGATCTGACTACAGATCCAACAATCAGAGGCATTTACTGCTCCCAAAAGATTCATCATGAGCTGATAGAAGGAATTAGGATGCTGCCCAGTGGGAGGAAGGTAGCTTTTGCCTGCAGCAGCTTCCTTAAAACTAAAGACAAGCAAAGATAAGAGCAATACCGGCCATAGCAATGTATAGAAAAAAAAAAGACCTCACAACTAGTTAACAAATCAGTGTCCTTGATTCTTCGTCTCACCCAGTTCCGGTGGGGTGAGCAGTAATGTCCCCCAGGGTAGGATTCTTGGTGATTTTCAGTTTCAGATCGCCCGTAGGAGTAGCAGTCCAGGATCCAGGCTGGGCTAGCTTCACCTGGGTGGCATGAATCCAAGCAGGGCGCTCCTTTATTTGGACTGCAGTGTGGGTGGTAGCCAAAACCTGGAACAGACCTTCCCAGCGCAGAGATAAACTATTCTGCCTTCGGTGGATTTTCACAAAAACCTCGTCTCCTGTCCTGAATGGATGGCAGGGCTCCTCAGGCGGATTTCCCCATTGTCTCTGCCTGTTGATTCAAAGTAGATAACACCGACACTAATCCCCTCAAATACACAAGTTGTTCTGAATGCAACTCCTGAATGACTGGTAGTTCTCGTGCATTAAATCCTGTGTTCATTTTTCGCCCAAACATTAACTCAAATGGTGATAATTTATCTTTGCCTCTTGGCTGTGCCCTGATCTTCATCAAGACCAACGGCAAAGCGTCTGGCCACGGGAGTCCCGTAGCTTGCACAAGTTTTGCCAAAGAATTTTTAATAGTTCCATTCATCCTTTCTACCTGACCTGATGACTGGGGATGATAGGGAGTGTGATAACAAAAGGGTATACTCAAAATTTTACATACCTGTTGGTAGATTGTGGCAGTGAAGTGAGATCCAAGGTCGGATTCCAGGTGTTCGAGTATACCGAAAAGGGGCCCCACATGGTGTAATAGTGCTTTGACAACCGCACTTGCACCTACTCTTCCGCATGCAAACGCCTCCGGCCACCCCGTAAGCATGCAGACTAATACCAAGCAGAATCGCTTACCTTTATGCCATAGGGAGCTCCATAAAGTCCATCTGCCATCAGCTACTGTTGTAACCCCCCTCTTACTCGAACATGCAGCCAGGGCATGGCTCGTCACGGGTAAAAAGCATGATCAGGGTGTCCTGTTCGCGTGAGAACAAGAACCCCAACGAATGTGCACGCTACGCAAGGCTGACAACAAAGCAGGCTACGCTCCAGCATAACCGCAGACGTTACGCCCTTGTACCCTCGCTTGCTTTAGCATGAAAAATGTGCAGATGTGGCTCAGTGGGTTTCCCCTATTGTTCGCTGTTATTCAAGCACCTGCATAGCCGTCCGTTGTAAAAGAGTATAAAAACTCTGCTTTCCTTCTGCTCGAGACTGCACTCTCACAAGTGTTGGTCCCTGCGCAGGTAATAAAGCTCCTCTCGAAAATTCCAACTGGCCTCTGGTCTCATCAGTAAAACCGCGGGACACAACAGCTACCTGGGATAGTGGGCCTTTCGAGGTGTCCTGCCTGGACCTTAGCTCCCCCTTGAGTGGAATTTATTTGGCAAATGGTGCATTGCTGAACAATTTTTGAAATAAGATCAGTCTTTCCTGGACATTTATAGGGTTCCATGAATCTGACGATTCCCCGTTTGCTCATATGTGCCTGTTGATGGGCCATATGAGCAAGCCAGAAATAAACGGCTTTGGGGAGGAAAAGAGAGCCCCCAGGGCTCCGGAGGAGCCCTTGAGAATCTCTCATTGCTCCTGTTCCCAGAGCTGTACCTCGTCCATTGGCGCGCATTTTTGAGTGTTTTTAAGAACAGATGCATCAAGAGGAACGAGCTCGGAAGTGGAAAGAAGTTGAAAAGGACAGAGAGCAGATGCAGCTTTTGCCGCATGATCAGCAGAAGCGTTTCCAATAGAGACAAAGTCAGACTGGCCGGTATGGGCTTTGCAATGGACGACTGCGATTTCAGAAGGGAGTTGGATGGCATCAAGAAGGGCAGCAATGAAATGTCCATGTGATACAGAGGACCCTGTGGAAGTAAGAAATCCACGTTGCTTCCAGAGTCGACCTGTAGCATGGCAGATGCCAAATGCATACTTACTGTCAGTGAAAATGTTAACGGATGAGCCAGAAGCTAGAGTGGCAGCTCGTGTAAGCGCCACAAGCTCAGCTGTCTGAGCTGATCGTACCCCAGGCAAGAGATAAGCCTCTACAATTGAGGCAGGAGAAACTACCACGTAAGATGAATGAAGCGTTCCGTTAGCATCTTGGTAGCAGGAGCTGTCTGTGAAAAAGATTAGATCCGGGTTAGATATGGGGGTGTCTTTCATATCGGGGTGAGGACGCATATCCTGATCAATAACCTCCAAACAATCATGTTCAATCTCCTCTGAATCGGAGTAAGGAAGCAGAGTAGCAGGATTCAAAAGATCACATCTGCCCAATGAGATAGCGGGGTTTGAAAGAAGGGCCTGTTCATAAGATGTCTGTCTCCGCACAGAGAGGTGCTGGGTCTTATGGACAGAGAGGATTGCTTCAACAGAGTGGGGGACATGGAGGAAAGTTTGATGACCCAGCGTGAGGGCTTGAGCCTTTTCTACCAGAAGGGCCGCTGCTGTCACAGAGCGCAAGCACTCAGGCAGTCCTCATGCAACAGGATCTAAGAGGCAAGAAAAATAAGTGACCGGATGAAGAGAATCTGCAAAAGGCTGGGTCAGCACTCCACTCGCTGTGCCAAGCTGCTCATGACAGAAAAGATGAAAAGGCTTGTTATAATCGGGCAGCGCCAAGACAGGCGGTGAGGCGATCGCCTGCTTGAGAGATTTTAAAGCATCCCGGGCTAGTTGGGAAAACATCAGTGGATCAGGTTGAGAATCATGTAGTAGCTCAGTTAGTGGCTTAGCTATTTGGGAGAAAGCAGGAATCCACTGCCGGCAATATCCAAACAGCCCCAGTAATTGCCTCGGATCCTTCTTAGTTCAAGGCTCGGGGAGCTGAAGGATAGGCTCGATACGTGTGCGCAAAACCTCTCTGCCCTTTTTGGAGATAGCATGGCCCAAGTAGGTCACTTTATTTTGGCAAAACTGGAGTTTTTTAGGTGAAACCTTAAGCCCCTTTTCAGCCAAGTAGATAAGCAGGGCTAAGGTGTCCGTTTTGCAAGCCGCAGAGGTTGTAGAAGCAACCAGCAAATCATCTATGTACATAATCAAGGCAGATCCCTGAAGGGTCTGAAAATCTTGTAAGATCATTTTTGAGGCTTGTGGAAAAAATGGTTGGCGAGTCACAGAATCCTTGTGGAATTCATTGCCACAAGAACTGAATGCCCCGAAAAATTAAACTAAAAAGGAATTGTGAGTTCTCATGTAATGGAATGGAATAAAATGCAGAACATAAGTCTAAAACACTAAAAAATGCTGAATCAGCAGGGATTGAGGACAAAACAGTAGTGGGTGATGGGAATAACAAACTGGGGTGATGGGAATAACAAACTGATTAATGGCTCGTAAATCCTGTACCAGACGATAAACAGGGCGGCCCTGTGAATCGAACCGCCCTTCTTTCTTTACCACCAGTATCGGGGTGTTGCAAGGTGAAGAGCCCCTTTTTATGATCCTTTGAGCCTCTAGATCTTGTATGAAGGGATCGAGGCCTTCCATCTGTTCTTTAGACAAAGGATATTGCTTCACTTTTGGCCAAGGCAAATTGGATTTTTATTTGATCTTTACAGGCGCCACTTTTAAGAGACCGGTCTCATTGGGGCATGTAGCCTATATGTGAGCTGGAACAGCTGCCAGCTCGGGTACCCTTTTAAACAAATCAACTAGTTGATGATCATTTCCTGGGTCTGTCATCATCATAAGCAAAGAAGGGAGGCACATCTGAGGCATATCCACAAAAACCCCATCGGGGTTGCAGTGGATTGTGGCCCCGAGCTTACAAAGGAGATCCCTCCCTAGCAGATTAACAGGAGTGGAAGGAGACAATAGAAAGGAATGGTCTACGGTCAATGGGCCAATCGTGCCCGTACTGGTTCAGAGATTTGACACTGGACTGGGGTTCCCATCATTCCCATAACAGTTTGAGTCCCCCTCCCCGCCTGTAGACCCGGAAGGTTATCAGAAAGAGTGGAAAAGGTTGCTCCAGTATCTACAAGAAAAGGGAGAGAAGAGCCAGAGAGAGGGAGAGGTAAGGTTCAGGAATTCCCAGTGCCAAACCTCCAGATTACCATCATTGGGTTTCCTGCGCTTGTACAAACTGTCCCTGGGGAGGCGGTGTGTCTGGAATTTGATGGGCTGGATGAGCAGCAGCAACTGCAGCGGTTGTAGGCTCCTCCGGAGCAGGAGTGGTTCGTGGGAAGTCCCGGACCGGAGATAACCGGACTCGGCATTGAGCTCGCATGTGTCCTGGTCTCTGGCAATGGTGGCAGAGGATAGCTTGTGGCGAGGCTCGTCGCCGGGAACTTGAAGGAAATCTGGGCTGGGGTCCCCTCTGGAACCTTTCCAGTTGTACTACAGCCAAGGAGTACTTTGCCTCTTCTTCTCTCAGGGCATTTCCCCAAAATTGTAGTAGTGCAGGCATCAATTGGAAGAGGCTCTGTCCCTGCCAGCCGAGTACCTTCTCCCATACCTGGCTCTGGTAATGGGGCAGAAGCCCTGTAACAAAGGTGGAGACCACCAGTGCCCGATGGGCTTCATTTGTGGGGTCCATGCCAGTATATTGAGAGAAGGCATTTAAGAATCGAGTCTGGAAGTTGATGGGGGACTCTCCAGGTTTTTGAAGGCAGGCTTGCAGCTTCTCCCAGCTAATTTTTCTGGGAAACGCCTTGCTTACCGCATTTAGGAGCCCAACACGATGTTCTTGCAGAGCCAAAAACTGAGCATCCGTCAAGGGAGGGGAGAAGTAGTTGACTGGTTCTGGCCATTGGGATCCCTGGTGAGGCGGCTGATCATTTGGCCCCCGACGAGCATGTTCCAGGATCCAGTGTACATCCGCTGGTGGCAAAATACCTTTTAATAGCCAATCACAATCCCCATGTGTGGGTTCGTACATGGAGAAGATGTTACTCAACATATCACACCACTTCTGAGCGTCTTCCCGAATTTCAGGCAAAGAGCTTTTAAACGCAGCAGTCTCACTGAGGCTAAAAGGTATATGTACCCTCACCAACGGTGGCCCCCTTGCTGGTCCTGGATATGCTCGAAGAGGATAAGCTGTGACTGGGGGGCATCATCCCGATCCTCGGAGCAATCAAAATACATTCGGGACATTGGAACTGTGGATTTAGCCCCACTTTTTACATTTTTCAGGAAGAACTTAGGATTTTCGCTCCCCCCTTCTACCATGCCACAAACCCGCCATCCTGCGTCCTTGGATCTTTGGTTGAGCTTCTTGGCAGCATTTAGCATCTGCTGTCGATGAGAATCTTCTGAGCCCTGGAGGCCATCAGCAACCTCTGTCTCTACACAGAGAGGGGGAGAAACATCCATAGTTTGACATTTTTAAATGGATTCCTGAGTTGCACTATGCTTCTTTTCCAAAAAAAACCCCTTTTTATCCTGAGGTTTAAACAAGATTTATTCAGGCCTCTTTTCCAACACCTCCCACCCCCCTTTATTTAGGCGGGATTCCCATCACACACACAAATACACAGTAGTTTTCCATTTTTCCTTTTCCAGCCAGCCCAACCCAAAAGGTATCCCAGAACCTTAAAATTCTCCCCAGGAACTTGCAAGGAAAGCATTTTTCCTTGGCCCCTTTACCCCTTTGTAATCAGAACGGGTCAGGAAAGGCCTATTGGGCCATCCAGCCTGACTGCTCCCACCTTGCAAAGCAGGCTAACCCAAGTCTGTTGACCAAAAAGGAATGGTGGCCTTAGACAGGGTATTCATCATCATGGGGGTCTCAGCCCCAGTGAGGATGATATCTTTAGGTCAATGGGTCAAAAGGAGGGGCCTAGGGAGCAAAGGAACAAGGCCTCAAAACAGATTGGATAACAGCACTGCAAAAATGCAGGGGAGCAGGTTAAAGGTGAGAGCTGGCTGGCACTGAGTTCCTTGCAGCCTAAAGGGCAAAGAGATCAAGGGGTTTGACTATTCCTATCTGAACTGCATGGGTATAAGCTGCTTCCTGAGAAAGAGGAGGCACCTGGAGTTATCTGAACTGGCTAATTTGTTTGGTTGCTCACAAAAGGGGAGAACTGTTGGAGAAATATGAAAATCCTGGCAGAGAGGGGGTCAGATCTCTGTTGGTATTGGCTGTTGGTTTAAGAGAATGGGAATTGGTGGCTTGTATAGGGGCTGCTGGGGCCATTGTTTTGCTGATCAGGTAGGGCAGATAATGCTGCCAGATAGACAGCATTGCTATCGCCTCGTTTGCATGCCAGAGCACATAGTGATCCCTGTGCCTCAGTGGAAATTTTACAGCTGGGTTACAGTGGAAGCAGGGATAGAGCAAGTGTGGGTGGCTAATCCAGAGTGGAGAGCCATGCAGCAATACATCAAGGATGCCCACTGATGCTTGTTGGCAAAGGGAAATAAGGGGGAATTCACTTTTGGACATCAAAGGCCCCATCAGATAATTTGGGGGCATTTTAGATATGAGTGAGGAGGAATTTGGGGAATGAACCGGGAGATGAGGACTCAATGAGGCAGTCAAAAATGGCATAGAGAGCCTCTTTTCAAAGGTTAGAGGATCTATGGTGAGAGGGGAGGGTTTTGAAAAAGGAAGCTAAATGTGTAAAATGGGGATGTACCAGGGACTGTTACAGGTGGACCATAAAGGTGAATGAGTGTGTGCTCAGGGCTCCAGTTTGAGGAGATTGGAGTCTCCTACTGGTTAACATGACTGGATGGAAGTGTGATATATCTCAGATCACAAGAGGAGGCCCAATGGATACTGGAAAGCAGTCATGCTACACTGGGTTGGCACCTGTGTATGTAAGGAGGGGTGTGTAACCCTTCCAGAATATTTTTTTTTATTAGAGGTGTGGGAGAGATTCTCCAGTTATCATAAGGTGCAGGAGTGGCAGTAGGAATAATAAAATTGGGAGATGTGCCCTACTAGGGTCATTCATTATTCACAGAGTTGTGCCAAAGACATACCAGTGACGGAGGAGCACTGTGCAGGAAAGGAGCTGACAATTCCAACGAAAGGAGAGATGACAGGGATTGGAAAAGCCTCCTTTGCAGTATCTACCCACGTATACCTAGCACGTTTTCAGGAGCAAACCGCCTGTGCCATGGTGGCTCTTGGGAATGCTACTATGCAAGCACTAGGGAAGCTGGCTGGAGAGATGCAACAAATGGAAAACTATACACAACAGAATAGGGTGGCTCTGGACTATGTGTTAGCAGCAAAAGGAGGAGCCTGTGGGGTGATTGGACACACCTGTAAAATGGGTCTAAACACAACAGATATCTATGAAAACTTAATGGTGATCCAACAGGTAATAACAGGGATTAAATAAACAGGCGTCAGGAACAGGGGAGTGGCTGACGTCATGGCTTCCCGACTTATCATGGCTGAAACACCTATTTGTTTTCACATTAGGGATGATAGCTGTAAATATAATCTGCTGTTTTTGCCTAAAGTGTCTGATGACCTGCACCCCAGGTAGTAAGACAATATGTTCAGAAAAATCCACAGACAAGGAGGACGTGATCCGAAGTATGGTGGCAAAGTTCAAAGACTAGGAATGGTTGTTCCAAATCAGGTCAAATAAAAGAAAAAGAAAATGGGGGAATTGATAGGAAAAGGGTGGGGGACGTGATTTGGAACAAGGGGAATGAAAAGAGAAAGAAAGGAGGAGTGAGAAAACTCCCTTTTCAGCAAGAAAAGAAGGGGGGGGCACGCAGAGTGTGAGAGAGCCGGCACATAGGCAAGAGGGCCAAATACTTCCTGATTGTTTATTGACAAGCTGAGCAGAACAAAATGAGCCTATTGTAGCCCACCAGGGGCAGGGCTGGATTGGGAAGAAGGGCTGGTGTTGGGGCAGCACGGAGTAGGCGGGCGGAAAGAATGTAACTCTCAGTACCCTATTAGCAAATTAGGGGAAAGGAGGAGGGAACAAGCGGCTGGGAGCAGGGTTCAAATGTGGTATGAGAACATGTGCTCAGGTGAACAGAAGAATGGGAAGGAAATTGTTCCTTTCTGTTCCCTTCATTGCAATAACGTTTTAAAAAGAACTCTTTGCATGCCTGGGATATTTTTATCTTCCGACGGAATGGAAAGAGTGTTTTTTAACACCGGG